GTAATTCTATTACAGTTGCTATTAATCAACTCAACTATATTCACCTCTTGGACCAGGTTCTATGCTCTACTTAGCACTAAGTCAAGTAGTGCTTCTGCATTTCAGGACTAGGCACTCAGAAGAAGTCATTAATGGGATCTAGAAACAATCTGCATCCCATTCTGAGGCAACATATACCCAGTCAACATGGGGATAGTTGACATCCTCTATTGCTAAGTTTTCTATTTTTATAGTTTCTCTAATCAGCCTGGACACGTGTCACCATCCTGGTCTGTAGCATGAGATACACTGCTTCTCCTTGGGGATGCTGTTCTGAATCCAGCCCAGCTGGGCAATAAGAATCCCTTACATTTGAGGTAGCCAAAGCTCCCTTTTTACCACTGAGTCTCCCAATGCTGAGCTATTTTAGCTGTCAGCTAGCAGATCCCTGGTTTTGGTGGGACTAGCAGGATGTCCAGGATCCCCTCAAATCCCACTTTCCTACTCCACCCCTCTGGATTAAAGCCCAGAAAACATGTACAGTCCATTTATCTGAGACATTCTTTGCTATGGGGTATTCAGGTTTGTTTACCCACAAACTCACATGCTAATCAGCAAGTTAGCAACTCCGTTTAAGGAATACCACCGGAGGAGAGCATTACAGATGTGGCTCACCTTTGCAGCTTCGATGTTGAGCATGTAGTATCTTAACAATTCCGACAGCTTTAAGTCTTCGTCAGACGAAACCCGATTCTCTACCTTCTACAGAAGAAAGGGGTAGATAGGAGTGACGTAATAAGAGACAGTGACACCTAGATTGATAGTTCTTCAAAGAAGCTCTTACCCTGAGTTTTTCAAAGAGCTCTGCAACTTTCAACAAGTACCTAAAAAAAAACCACAAAGAAAGCAGTGAGTTTATCTGTATTTCATGGAAGTCATGTAGAATGCAAGAGTTATTAGGTTTCTACTTGAATGCTACACAAGTTTGTCTAACCCTGCACCGGTGTACAAGTCCCTATTTGAATAAGGAAGTTCAAGTACAGGTAAGGAAGTGTGTCGGGACTGAAACTGAAAGCTGAGCAAAAAAGAGAAGAAGCTTTTAACTTTATCCGGTTTCTGAGCTATCCAACTTGTAAGCTCTGTTCCAACAGGCCTGCCTTGAAGCTCGAGAGCTGTGAAGCAGTGCTTAACAATGCTTATAAAAAGCCTCTTTAGAGGCAGACATTTTGTATTGCACCACACTTATACCTACAAATCAATCAAGCCTGGTACACAAGGCAATTTTTCATAGCAGTTGCAGTCCAGTCAAAACCGACATGTTAACAAATTAACACTTGTGACTTGCATTAAGACGAGAACCTTGGTGTAGACAGTTACGTCAGCGTTTGTCCAAACCCACAAACACCCACTCAGTGGTATCTGTGCACTATAGAAAGATGCTGACTGCGACCCCTTGCCCCTCTAGCAGAATATAGGAAGTCTCATATGTTGCAAGTGCTCCTACTATACAGCCCAAAGGCTATGTACTCTACTGCAGCCTGGTTACAGGGGCTAGGAAGTAGGAAGACTGGCCAGCCTGTTTACAGGTAGCCAGGGTCCCTTCTATACTACAAATTCTGATCTCATTGTGGGAAGACAGACACGTGTTGGACCACCACAGGCTCCAAGCAAAGTACAGGCAGTCCCCAGGGTTACGTACAAGATAGGGACTCTAGGTTTGTTCTTAAGTTGAATTTGTATGTAAGTCGGAACTGGTACATATTGTAGGGGAAACTCTAGCCAAACATTTCTCCAGTGCTCAGTTTTATTC